AATGACATACATTTTTACATTCTATAGTGTCAGTATTGGTGGACATTTTTTTTTTTTTTTTATGTAAGCATTGGTGGACATTAGGTGTGAAATAGTTCCTTGTAACTTTTGTATTTTGACTCTTTTTTCACTTTCATCGTACCCTTTTTTTTTTGGTTAATGTAGATTCATGTTCGAGAAATTTAGCATCAGACAATTCAACTGCAATTGGTTTTGATGAGAGAATGATGCTTCATGCAGAAGTATGCTACTACTATCCTACTATTTTTCCCACTGAACTTCTAATGCATTGCCTTTTGGTTTTAGTACAGCATATATTTATTTTATGTATTGCTGCAGTATTTTAAGTTGCAAATGTTCTTGTGCTTTACTTTGTTAAAGTTTTTTTTTTTTTGGTAAATTGGGAAATTCATTAATAATAGTAGTCTCAATGAAAAAGACGGGGCGATTATTCCCCCTTGCATCTGCGGTCAACAAAAGAGAAACAAAAGGTGGTGGGAAACTGTGAGAGATAAAAACGTCATCTATGATTGAATATGTACAAATCCTTCTTTGTTTCTTTGATGGAAGAAATTTATTATCCTATCTTTTTGGAAGGCTAAAGTGCCTATTAAGGTGCAAGTTTTTGCTTGGGCTGTTGCACATGGAAAGATTAATACCAATGATATGCTTAAGAAAAGAAGACCTAATAGTTGTTTTTCCCCATAGGGCGGGTGATGTCTAAGGGTGATGTGGAGAGCATTGATCATCTATTCCTTTATTGTCTTATTGCTTTGTCTTTGTGGTTTAAGCTGTTTAGTTTGGCTGTGTCACATCCCAACCCAGAGATGGTACTTTTTGTCTAATTCCGATAGAGTGGACTCCATTTCCCTAAACATAACTTTTATCCTATACATTTTGTTTATGTTTCAATTAACTAACATCAACTAGGTGCGTCAAGTAGTGTTTAGTTTTCCAGCATCCCTACATTATTGATTACAAATCTTACCATCGAACTCATGATTTACAAAGTCTTTAACCTTACATTATTATAGGACTCAAAACTATACAACTTATACAACCAACTCCAAATTTTGTTTCTTTCCTTAACCGCCTAGTCTTAGTAGTGGACATCCCTTCCTTCTGGATTACCTGAAAATTACAAACTGTGAGGCAGTGAGCACACAAGCTCAGTGAGTATACACAATCATCTAACAATTAACAACAATAATATGTAGTACATAAAACAATAATCATCTTACCAAAATAACTGAACAGTCCTATAAGCCATTTTACAAAAACCTTCATATGTCTCTGGAGGTCATCCCATAATACATCAATTCATCGTAGTAATCAATAGGATTATATAAGTTCGCCACTCACTCAGGCTATGTCTGCCTTTTAGGCAACACTCGCCGCACAAGCAATATCCGCCACACAGGCTACATAATTGTCATTAAAATAATATCTGCCACATAGGCTATATAACTGTCATTAAAGCAATATTTGCTCATAAGGCCACTTAACATAACCACAACACTAAACTTATCACAATGTTGTTATCACCAAACAATTATTCATTAATAGCAAATAACATTAGCTTTTAAGGCTATCTCCATTAGACAGATTACATGACATATCTGTATTGTATTCATAACACCCTCTACTCACATACATTCATATATCAATAAACTCAAACATTCTATTGATATTATCAATGATATGATATAGCATGGACACATTATTAATCATAAGCAATAAATTACACCATCACTCATTTTAAGCGTATTTATGCTAATTCAAGCACACACAACTTGTGTGTAATTCATCCACCTCAGATTCAGCTGTCGTACAAATCCAGTCCCGAAATGGGACTTTTGATGTAGGGGTCAACCCTTCCATTCCTACCACACACCATAATAACTTCCATATAAATATCTCAACATTTACATTTTATATCAATCATGCATGTATGGATATATACTCATACTCATGTTACCATATTCTCAAATTCTTTCCCAAGTGGTGTATGTTAACCTTCAAATCACGACTTATCAATTACCCACTTTCCTTACTTTAATTCTCGATTTAATGTTCAATTCATGTAGTTGTAAGCAACTAAACCCATGAACTTATTTGAGGTCAATTGAATGCCCCAACAAGTTTTTAGAATAGTCAGATGGGACCCCGAAACACCAGCAACAAAACAGCCCAAAACAGTGCCTGATGAACCGGTACAAGTCCAACCGGTTCATCGGTGTTCAACCAGTTCAATCCAAAGCAGGATGCTGTTCAACTGTTTCAACACATGTTCAACCAGGTCATCCTTGAACCGAAGTTTGAAATTCAGTTCAAACTCCTACCTCAACCCTTCTCTCCTTCCCCAATCACATCCTAACCATCGCCAGCACTACCATTAACCTTTTAGAAGCTTAAAAACATACTAGTTCAAAGGGAGTAACATACCTTCGATGTGACCTGATTTTCTTCGAAATCCACCAGAATCACCAAGAACAAGGGACTCAAAGTGCCTAAAACTTCATTGCAACACATCCCCACTCAAGAACTTGGTATATCCAAGAATTATGAAGCTAAATAGTGAAAAGAGTCTACTTTGATTTCCAAGGACAAAAAGAAAATTCCTCATCCGTCACCGTTTTGTAACCGAAAATTCTTCTATCTCAAAATCCATCAAAATTCATTCTCTTCAATCGGTTCTAACAAAAAACAATTCCCCAACCTTTTATACAACCCAAGGCCTCTCCTGGCACCCTCCTCATGCACCGGGTGTAAAGATTGACTCACTCAAGTCTTAATTTACACTAAGTCTCCCCCTAGTTTCCTTTATTCTTAAAATTAACATTTAAGTTTCTTGACTCATAGTAAATTATTTTTAGATATCTTGCCATCTATCAATTCAACCCTTAGAAATCATTAATACATTTCATATCTTTATTTCCTCAATTTCACTAATTGTAATTTAACCATGACTAATATTAAAAATTATGCTTTAACCCCAATCATAGTTGTCAAATCGCGTATCGGAAGACGTATCGTTTTTAAAAAATAGTGTATCGTATCGTATCGTGTATCATAAGATACGCGTAATTTAATTTTTAAATAATTATTAATAATATATATATATATATATATATATACTTTATAAAAAAATATAGACTCATAATAATATAGCATTTTATTAATATTCCACAAAGTATTTAAGTTCCCAACATAGTTCAGTAATATCAAAATGCAAAGACTTCTAATTCAAACTTTTAACATCAACTGATTGAACAACTTTAATATTAATCAGGTATTTTAAACTTAATTAGATAAAATTAACAACATACTTTATTTTATTTTTTTAAACCACAACTACTAAAACGACGTTGTTTCACTGACTAGTGATTTAAAAATAAGTGTTAGGGTAAAACGATATCATTTCAGCCCCACAAAATAAAAAAAAACAGAATCGTCATGTATCGTACGTATCGTATTGTACGTATCGTATCGTACGATATGGTGCAAAAACGATATAAAGATATGATACGTATCGTTTTTAAGGTGTATCATGACGCCACACGATAAGTATTGCGTATCGTATGATACTAATAACTATGACTCCAATATTAAATAAAATGCAATAAAATACATATTCTGGTCTCACTGGCTAAGTTGATTTGGTCCCAAATCATCTATGTCGTTGCTTGTTGAAGAATTGAATGGATTCGAAAGGCATGCTAATGGATTACCATTGTGAAAATATGTGATACTTGCTATTTTTTGTGTCATATTGATAGAAAAAAATTCTGGAATTTTTGAAGATCGAAGTTAAATGTTAGAAGGGTTGTGGAACCATATTCATTTTGGGCTTCAGTGTCTAAGGATTTTAAAGATACTCCACTTTTTGCTATTTTGGCAGATGGGAATGCGTCATGTGATTTAGAGCTCTAATTTTTGTTTTCTTTTTTTTCTTCTGTTGTTTTTGTTCATGGTTGAATTTCTTGTTCACCCTCTTTGATATATCGATATTTTATATATATCTAAGTTATGTTCCCTATTAAAAAAAAAGGGTAAATTACATCTACCTGCCTTGAGGTTTGGTTAAATAACAATTAGTCCTCCTCTTGTATGGAAAATAACATTGACCTCCCTTGTCAGTAACGTCCGTTGCTTTTACTAAAATAAGAAAGTGACTATAATGCCCTAGATCCAAAAAATTCTCTACTTTTTAACCTTTACCTAGTTTTGTTATATCCAATCATACCATGTCACATCATGCCACAATAAAATACAAAATATAAATGAAAGAATCTTACTAAATTACTGAAATTGATTTTCAAAAGGAAACATAATATAATTCATTCTATCAATGAAATAAATTTTATATCAAAAGTCAGATCAAATCTAATCAATTTATAATTGAGTTAAATTTATCTTCAAGTTCAAATCAAATCTAATTAATTTTGTTAGTTAAGTTAATTTTGTCCTTAAACCCATACAAAATCTAATTGATTATGTTAATTAAATTATATTTATCTCAAATACAGATTAAATCTAATCAATTCAATTAATTAAGCTAAATTTACCTCAAAATTCGAATGAATTCCATTAATATAGTTACTTTTGTATGCAAAATTCAAACTTTAATTTAGAAACAAATAATATTAGGTGTTTGTTTGGAAACTAATAATATTATTAATATGAATATGATATATTTGGCAATAGGTTTAGTTTTTCTACTATCTAAATAAGGGTAATGTTGATATTTACAAAAATTGCGTTGCTTTCATCATCAAATTATAGATGTCCCTCTAACAGCCTATTAACGGTTGGGGGAATCTATTACAGACAACCACAGTAAAAGGGAGATCAATGTTATCTCTCATAAAAGAGGGGGTCTAGTTATTATTTGACTAAACCTTAGGGGAGGTGAATGTAATTTACCCAAAAAATTTTTTTGGAGTTGTTATTAGCTGCTTCTATATTTCTGACTTTTCTCTTTGTTGGTGTAGGCTGAAATGAAGTCTCACCCTCATCCAGAAAGACCAGATCGTCTTCAAGCAATTGCTGCTAGCCTTGCAACGGCAGGTGTGCTTATTGACTTTTGTTCCCTTCTACTTGTAAATTTGCAGAGCACGGGGCTTTAAATTGTGTTCCCTACAAAACCCCCCAGCCCTCAGGCATCAGACCAAATTATTCATTGGACTGCCTCTAGTTGCATTTGAATTTTGTAATTTTTTTGATGATATTCGACAAAGGATTGAGAAGAAATTTGTATTACTTCAAAACTTGCAGGTATATTTCCTGGGAGATGCTGTCCAATCTCAGCAAGAGAAATCACTCGAGAAGAACTTCAGATGGTAAGGAACTGTCCATTATCTTGAAGGCCTATGAGGACATACTACACGTTTCATGCAAATTACCTGAGTGTGATATATTGGGGGTTGGATAGCTGAGAATATTTGACAAAATTCATGTGTATGATGCTACGGTGATATACTGGGGAGTGCGTGTAGGATGTCTGTGGTAATAAATTTGAGTTGATCTGTGTGAGAAGTATGCATGCTGGCATTGTGAATGATGGTTGGCCATTGTTTGCTATTTTGGCTAGCAAAGGTTGTAATGGAGATGCAGTAGTTTATTTAGTTTTGAAACCTGTTGTAGCCACCTCCCAAATAATTGATGTTTCATGTTGGACTTTTTCAGGTCCACTCTTCGGAGAATATTGAAGATGTAGAACTTACAAGCCGCATTTTTGCTAGGTGTGTTTTTAGATGTCATTATTTCCTTCTTTCAGTTTCTTTTCTATTTTCATGGCTTCTAGTGGCCTTCTAGTTTCGTCATCTCTCTGTTTGTGTGTTTGTGGATGTATGGATGGTTGGGGGTGTAATGTCCATGCTTGCAATTTGAGCATGTGCTATTGTGATTGATCTAATCCTTTTAATGACAGTTATTTTACTCCTGATACATACGCAAATGAACATTCAGCATGTGCTGCGAGGCTTGCGGCAGGTTTATGTGCTGATCTTGCTTCAGCAATTTGCACTGGACATGCCAAAAATGGTTTTGCTCTGGTAAGAAATACTTAAAATCTTGTTATACGGCGTGTTTTCAAAAATGACAATCAACTCTTATAAGAATGTACTCTCTCTGTCTCCCCTCTCTATTTCTCTCTCCGATGGGTCAGGTTCGGCCTCCCGGTCATCATGCTGGTGTAAAACAGGCCATGGGGTTCTGCCTCCACAACAATGCAGCCGTTGCTGCATCAGCAGCTTTAGTAGCGGGAGCTAAGAAAGTGTTAATTGTTGATTGGGTAATGGCAATAACTCCTTTCCTTCAACTTCTCATTTTACTGCCAGTAGCTTTATTTCATGTGGAGGTGGAAATGCAATGATTTTAAATTTGGAACACTCTGTCCCCACATCTCTTGCAGGATGTACATCATGGAAATGGCACACAAGAAATTTTTGAGCAGAGCAAACCGGTGAGCATTATGGTAGTTATTATTGAATTTTGCATTTATTTAATGCTTTTGCACATTGATCTGCGTGACTTAATATGTTCTATCATACTTACCTTAAAAGAAAGAAAAGGCTTTATATGCTTAAAGAATGCTTGAGTACCCAATTTTTTGGTTGGACTAAATACATTCTTACTATTAGAATTTTTCTCAATTAAAAGTAAAAAACCCATTTGAAAATATCTAATGGTGAAAAATAGTTGTTTTTCTCATAATAACCCATAGGTTTGCAACTACAAATTATCTTCAAAGAATCCATGTGCCATGTAATTTTTGGTGTATTTTTGATGGTTGGTGGCGGCAAGAATTCTTACCCATTGTGGGTATGTGCAATTTTGGCAAAAAAAAAAAAAGAACTAAAGCTATTTGAACAGCATGAGTAACTTTGACTAGTAGCTGGTGAGAACTTTAACTTGTACTGTCTCACCAGCTACTGGATAAGCAGTCAAAGAAGCTTCTGCTACTAGAACTTAAATAAACAGAATTTTGTTTCAATTCAATGCATCCGGCTAAAGAGGAAGAGGATCATTCTTTTGTGAAAGTTCCCCACTTACAGTCTGACCAAGATTTTGGGTGGTGTGGATAGAGAGAAATTGCAGAATCCTTGAAGGTAAGGAGGATAAAATGGAGTTGTTATGGGGAGAGTGAAGTTTTTGGCATCTCTTTGGTCACAGTGATATCTAATGAGTTTCATGACACTCCTTCATTTGTTCTTCTACACAATTGGAAAACCTTTTGCAATTGATCATATTTCTTGTTTACTTCAAATTTTTGGCACATTTCTTGATGTACATTGCTTTTATATATAATAAAATAAAATAATATTTTTTTTTTAATAAAAAATGTGTTACGTAGTTTGAGCATTTGCATTATTGTTTAATGATGGTTGAACCTATTTGTAGGTCTTGTATATATCCTTGCACAGACATGAGGGTGGAAAGTTTTATCCTGGTACTGGAGCTGCTGATGAGGTACTTGCTTGATTCTCCTCTCCCCCCCCCCCCCCGTTCTCTCTCTCTGAGCTTATGTTTGTGATCTGCCAGATTTTTTTAAAAATTTCTTTCCGTCGCCTGCATATGGGTGGACATTGCAGTTTTATGGAGAAATACTGTACGAATGGGGTGTCCGCAGTAATGCTTTTAGGTTTTTGAATGGACTGATTTCAAGATGTTCTTGATGCTCATGACCAGGTGTTGAAATGGTGTCATATGGCTTTTAGGAGTCCCATGATGAATAAAGTCTAATCACTTGTTTCCTCGATTAATTGTTCAATCATGTTCGATTATTTTTGTTGGTAGAATGTTCTCTTTTGCATTAGGTTGGACATGATGAAGTGTTTGTGCAGGGCCTTTCAAAACGATATACCAACTTTATTGCCATGTGGTTGAGTCGGATACTTTTCATGGTATTGCATTGTTCGTTTCCTTGCTTCCTTGCCCTATTTTTGTTCTCCATGTGACAAGCCCATTTCTCTGATGGCTGGCATGTGAGAGGGGGTGTTAATGGGTCCAACATTGCTTGGGCCTGGGCTTTGGTATGACTTCATTTATTTTTGTTCTCCCGGCCATCATGCTGGTGGTATTCTAATTCACTTGTTTTCAGTTGGTTTGGGTTGGATGTTATAGCTTAGTGTCAAAATTGGAGGTTCCATGCTTAAACCGGCTAACAACTGGATGCAAATCTTGCTCTAACCACCCTTTTCCTTAATTGATGCCCATTTATGGAACTGAGTTTGGTGTTCATGTGACCCATACATGGTTTAATGTATCGGTCGTTATCAATACGACTTGGTCGTGTTGTACCCGATTCAACATCTTTTAGTCCAATGCAGTTCCACAGTATGGGAAAGTCACAAGTCTCACACGATTCGGCTAAGTTGTCTAATATGTTGACCCAAATGCAATCTAAGAGGATTGGGGGGTTGAATTAGGTTGTGTGAGTTAATGCCTAATTTTTCGCTTTCATGAATTCATACTAATAATGCAATTTGAACAAGAGTATAAAGAATTATGTAGTGTAAGTGATTGTATGATCAATAATATTATGTGTGTAATAGGCAATATATATGATAACTAATGCAATATAAATGATGCAATTAAGTAGTAGGAAAGAAGAAAAACAAACACAATATATCGAGGTTTGACCTCAACCATGATGGCCTACGTCCTCACTTCCCCTTCTCCTCGGAGCTTCTCTTTCACTATCTTAATCTCCTTCAACGGGTGAAGATCAAAACTCTTTACAAGCCTTATATTTTTTAGGAGGTGAAGACACACCTTTACAATTCAAGCTCAAATGATACGACTTTCAATACTCTCCTCTCTTTACAATTAAGAATCAATCAAATAAACTTAGAGAGAGAAAATCACAATTGGTCTTGCAGCCAAGCTCTCATAATAATGATCTTTCCTTGATGTGTATATTACTCTAAGAATGCTCAAGAAGTCCCCACCAACTCCCCAAAGAATGTTACTTCAACAAGCCTTACAATGGTTTTTTTATAGTGGAAGTAAATGGCCAAACAAATGGCCCCATAAACCAGCCGCTGGCGGATACGTCTGGAAGGGTGTCCAGTCAACCGGATGCCCATTCGGAGGAAAAGCAAAACTTTTTGTCCAAGTTTGGAAACCAATCCGAAAGGCATCCTGTAGGCTGGATTTCCCATCTGCTAGGTCGGATCCAGTTTAGCTCTATGCACTTCCATCCATTTCCTAGGTGATTTTGACCCTCAAAACGTTCAAATCTTCGAATGCCTATTTTAGACAAAGTTATAGCTCTTGACGCCTTCTATCCAACCCCATTGAATCAGGTCATTTGGACATCGGAGTATAGACTTATGTCCCAAATACCGAACACATGTCTGATTTTCCTAATTGTCAGATTCTGTGCACTACCTCCGACTTCCATTCCCCCTTTTTTACCTAGAAGACATTCAAATCTCAAAATTGTTATTTCACATCAACTTGTAGATCTTAAATTTTTTTTTCCACCCACACTTGAATCAAGTCAATTGGAAATCTATGTCAAAAGTTATTCTCACATGATCGGGACTAGGTCAAATTGACTTATTTGAACATTCTTCCTTCTTGACTTGTTTCTTCCACTCTTTTACCTTAATCCTTCAAATCTTATTTTTAAGTATCATAATAATCTTCCTAACTTGAATAAGTATCGGATAACAATGATCTTTAAGCTCTTCAAGTTCTTCTCTTATATTCATCACACCGACAAGGTTGTTGAAGAAGCTTCTCATGCCCAATTCTTCTCATCTTTCACTCAACCACTTTAC